AGCCACAGTCCCAGTACTGAAAGTTACATTTTAAAGAGGACCATATAGGCAGGTGTGGGGGCATTGCTTGCCAATAGCCACACTGTCTTTTCAGCTGCTTTCTCTCCCAGGCTCCTAGTGCAGCTCTCTTTCCTCTTTAAAGTTTACTATATATTTTGACATTCATCCTTTAATACCATATCTAAATCTGAGCATCATTCAAAATCTAAGCATTTTATAATAGGGGAACTCACAGGATGGTAAAGTTCTCTAAGGAGATTACAGAAAAACAAGCCACCAGAAAAACATACTGAATAAGTTTGCTAAATCAGAGATAAAACCAGCTAGTTCGTATTATGAGGCCCCTAATAAAACCATGGCTTTTTTGGTCGTGTTCCCTGCGAGACAATTGATTTCTGTAAATTAATGCGGATTTTCATAGTCTGGTCCCTAACCAATAGTAAATAGAAGTCAAAGAAAGACATACCCCTCTCGGTAGCTAAATAATCTTTGTTTGACAATGCTCTGCAAAGTCATGCAGTCCTCTTTTTTTGTCTGATTTCCAAGCTTGACTCCATTTTTAGGAAGAGGTTCTATGGACCCTTAAATGCATCTGGTTGAATGTATGTTGAAGGAAAGGCTCCGCATTCTACCCTACAAAGTAATGAGGACTTTTGGCCTAGAGAAGACTTAGTGTGGGTACCAAAATGCTAATGTCAGTATCGCTCTTAAAGGATAACCAGAGGACACGGCTGAACAGGCAAAGACTTTATTTACACCATGCAAGAGCTCAATTCAAAGGCCATCACAAAGAAGGACAGCGAGACTGGCCTTTAACTTCTCTAAGGGAAGACAGACTTCCTTCTGTGAGAGCCCTGAAGCCTGGCCATTGACTGACTGCCCTGGGAAGAAGAGCATTTGCAGTCTGGGAGGGTCACTGGCAAAGGCACAGCCACTTAGCTCACATTATCAGTGAGGATATGAGGCAGGTAGGCACAGGGAGTCACACTTCAGGAGAGGGCCAGGCCAGGGGTCCCCAGGATCCCTTGCAAAGCTACATTTCTGTCATCCTGTGAAAACTAGAAACAACCTAAGGAGTCAGTGTCTGTGTGCTAACTGCTGTTGCTGCCACAAAACCTCAATAATATTTTCTGTTAAAAATACAATCAGGACTTCACTTCAGTTTTGGCTTTTTTTTTTTCTTTTTTTTTTTTTTGCAAGTCCTGTTGCTGAGAGGAATAGATTCACAGTTTTATTTTCTTGTTGGTTTGTATTTTCATATAAATAAATCTCAGTATCTCAGAGTTGACACTTTCTCCCTTTCTGCTAAAGTCATTGGAATATATGTACCCAGTCATTCACACAGTGGTGTAAATGGATTTTCTAAAAGTTTTTCAGGAGACAATGAAAGCCATCACTTTGTGACTTGAGTTCTTCAGGTATTCCTGTCCAAAAGCATTACACGCCAGCCCACCTGCCAGGATGCTAAAATCTGTATCTTGACCTTGAATCTACAGGGCAGGGAAATATCTTTTGCTAGGATTGCTCATCCATCACCTTTTTAGTTTTTCCACTTGTATAGGATCTACTTAGGAAAGGGAAAGGAGTTAAGTTGAGACTTTTATAGGTTCAAGAGAAAAATAACATGTTTGACTTTTCAGCTTTTGATGATTATTGCTGTCACAGTTTAAATTTTCAGTTTACCTTTTTACCATTGATATTTGCAAAAACTTGACTTTTAAAAAATGCCACATCACAGTTTTTGCTTTATGTCATCAGAAGACATACTGAGTCTGAAGCTCCTCTCAGATTTGCTATTAAAACAGAACCCTGAAGAAATAGCCTAACATTGCAATGATTTTATTTATACCATTCAAATGCACAGCTCTGGAGACAGAGAGAGAGCTAGAGACTCAATTTCACTCAATCTGTCTAAGGTTCAGTTTTCTTACCTAGTATTTGGAAACAGAATAGTACTGACCTCACAGGGTTGTTCTGAGGACTGCATGAAAGAGCACATATGGTCCACAGCACACTATCTGGCATAAGTCTTCATAAATATTAGCTGTTATTATTTTAATAATAATTGTGATGACTTTGCCAGAACTAAGTTATGGTGCTGTTGTCAGTTAATGTAATAATGGCTGATTCATTTCCTAACACAACTGAAAAGTAGATTTCAGCATTATATAATAGTTCAGTCTTAATTAATGAACTTAAATAGCTGTTCTTGAGAAAATAAGGAGGACTATTTAACCCAGATTTAGAAAATACATCCTATCTCTGGCAAATACTTTAATATTTTAGGCATAAGTACCGTAAGTCCTTGGAGGAGCTGCAAAGAAGCTATTGTGTGCTGGTGACTATGTATTTGAAGGAGTAGGCAGACAAACCTGCAATAACAGGGCTTTCTTTCCAGAAACTGACTCCAAAAGTCAGTTGTCAACTTGAGTAAAAGACTGCGTGGTAAATAGTCACTGCATATGTGTCAAAAGTGGAACTCTGTACAGAACTCTATTGGTGGCTGAGGTCTGCTTCCCAGTGACCAGACATATAGTGGAGTGGGTTCTGAATTTAGAGTTAGATGAAGCTGGCTCAAGTCCATGCTTTGCCATTTATTTGCTCTGTAATCTCGAGTTTGGATGCTTGGCTTTTTGGAAACTCGGTTCCTCATGTATAAAATGGGGCTAATTCAAAAAGGTTCATGAAAGTGCTGAAGCAAGATACCATTAATAATACTAGTGTTATTATTAATACTGTACCACCCCATTATTACAAAGATAAATGAGATGAGCATAGGTCCCCACACATGTGTAATACCAGTGTGACAGCAATTCCCCAATATAAGACAAATGTCCCCAGAGTGGTGACAGTGATCACCCTCCCTCATGGGTTAAAATTCTTATCCCATTATAAATGTCATGCTCATTTCGCAGGAGTATTATTAGTGTTTTTGATATTCTATAATTAACCTTAATGAATTTTCTATTTCCTTTTGTTTGGATTTAGGTGAATTTAAAGGCAAAAACTAGTCAGGTTAGAAGCCAAGCCAAATTCATTCTCCATATACTGAATTATTGACTAATTCATTATACTCTCATTTAAGTCTTCATTAGTTTGCTACTGTTGATAGAATCAAGTCCAGGCTCCTACTTCTGGACCGTGAGGCCTTCGGCCATCTGGTCCCTGATCTCTCTACTTCATACTTTGTCTCCTACCCCACTAAGCTTCTCAGTAGCTTTTGCGAGTGCCCATCTCTCCTGGAATACCTCTTCCCTCTTTCTGCTGAATCGATCTTCATTCATTCTGTACCCTTCTTCAGTATCCCTACCTCATGATTTGCCAAAGAGACATAATCACCCCCTGTTGCACCAGTGTGTTTCAGTCTTTATTGTACTTTGTAGGTCCGCATCCCCTGTTTAAGCATAGACATCATGTTCCGTGTTGTGTTCATACTTGAATCTCCAGCTAGGAGCACAGTGCCTGTATAAGTGGATGTTCAGTTAAATGTTTAAAAAAATGACCTGAAATCAGATGGCTCCCATATTGACTGAAAACAGCCAGATATCTTCATTGACATCACCTTGTAAAGCTCAGCCTCAAACCCAGGGCCTCGTCATGCATTCTAGGCAAGCACTATACCACTGAGCTATATCCCCAGTCCTGGACAGTAGCCTTTCTAAGTTAAAATTATTTTGGCATTTGGCACATTTAGCTCTCCAAAATGTGCTAGTGATAATTTGTTCCATAGACTACAATGGAGTTGACAATACAATGCATGTTTTACTAAATGGATTTAAAAGTATGGCTATTAAACTAAAATGGTATACCCCCTTTTGCCAATTGCAAAAGTTTAAATAATAAATATTCATTCTGTTCTTTAATAATAAAACAAGTCTGCATAAGGATATTAGCATATTTATTTATCTCCAAAAAATCGTGGTTGCAACATTCATACCAAATAAGCCAGTCTCTCCCATGCCACATCCAGAAAAATTTGGTTACTATAATGACAAAATATCTTCAAGATAAATATCAAAGACACTGTTTTTCAAAAGTAATGAAATGGTCCTAGACCTGGATCCTAGGCATGGTATAGTCTCTCTCTCTCTCTCTCTCTCTCTCTCTCTCTCTCTCTCAGACTCTGAAATTTTAAAGTTCTGAGTAGAATGCATTAATAAAAATATGAAATGCTTTTTCTTGTATAAATCATAACAAAGTTCTGAGAGATAAACAAAGAACTAAGAAGGACGAATAACCATCTGCTGCTCTAAACCCGAAACCTGTCACGTTAACTCCCAACTCAAACACTTAGTTTTAAAGATTTACCTTCAAGAATCCTAAAAGCTTGTATTCTGCCTCATTGGCAACAGCCTCAAACTGTTCCCTGTCATGGAAGAAAACAAATCTTTTGCTCCTTTCTGCCTGGGGGAGGCAGAGGGACTGAGGTGGTCCTATGTGGCTGAATTAGATGAAAGACTTGCCTTCCACCATGGAGACATGGAGTCTAATCAAGTGAAATGAGTTTTGAGATCCCAGCTCATTTCCTAGGGGAGATCAGTTCACATTACAAAATCATGACATCTCATTCATCACAACTGACGTGGTCTTTGCTCAGGAGAGGACCCCAACTGGGACTAAACCACCTGTCTTCTCTCGGAAAGGGGCACTTTATCCAAGTTAGAGTTGAAAGCCTTGGAGTGAGAAAGCTTGCCAGCCACCAGCTTCCCTCCGTGTGATACATGTGCAATGTGGAAGGGAACTTAAGTTTAAAAGAGGAAGACAAGGAAGATTGGTGGTTGGATTTTTAATGATGCCAAATACATAATGTCAAATCTTAATGGAGAAGCTAACTCATGGTAGTAGAAGAGCCAGGGGGTTGGGGCTCCCTCTTCTTTATTCCTAAACTGCATTGAATGGAAGTGAGGAGGATAGCATTTGCATGCATCAGAGTTTTAAATGGGAAAGAAAGTGTCCTTTCCAGACTAATAAATGATCATTACCTCTTTTATTTCTTTCAGGGCATCGTTATAACACCATTGCTGCTGCTGCTTTTTGTGAGTATTTTGATGTTGCCTTTAATATCTTTTATTAAAAGCCATCTACAACCCTTTAAGTAAGGTCATTAGAATAAAATTTAAATTTGAATTCTTCTGCACCACTTTGCATCACATTTGAATGGTCTCCCAGTGGAGCTGTACCAAATACCAACATATAGTCACAAAGAAACCCCATAATCCTCAATCCAAGGACAGCATCAGTCCCCAGTTATTCGGCCTCTAGTGCCTACCTAAATCATTCCATATTACAAATTAATGATCTGTAGCACAGGTCACAAATGCGCTGCTCTTTATTTTCTCATTAGTAAAGCAAAAGTGATTGACAGTGACTGTGTTTGATAACATTTGACAGAAAGACCCTTGGACCACAGGATCAGAGGAAGCTCAGGTTCCAAAATTCCTTACCTTAAGGAAGGCTGCCTTGATTTTTTTCATCTGTAGAATGGGAAGCCATAATACGTACCCCAGGCTGTCTCCCAAAGATAATAAAATGTGCTTTAGAAATAAGCAACAAGTAGATACAAGCCACTAGTTAACTCAACAAAAATTGTTCTGAAAACAAGAAATGCTAATTAACTGTCTTATTTCTTTTGGCACTAGGCATATGAGAAATTAGATGAAAGATTATAATAGAAATTAATGTTATCTCATGCTGAGCGAAGCATATGTAATCATGAATGATACCTAAAATATTTTATGAACTGTGAATTTTTTTCCATGCATACATCTTCCAAATATAAATCACTCCACTTATCACTGAAATGTAGTGGGGATGCGTTTCTGGGAATGAAATGGAGCTGTTTGACTAGGACTATTTGTCAGTGAATTAAAACTATGGGGAAAATTTATTTAATTATAGTGTAATTACCCAAGTTGGAATTCAATTAGAGTAATAGAATGAGGGACTTCATTTCTTACCAGCTGTGTAGGAAATAGAGAGGAATAGACATCCTACTAAACAGTTGGATTCTGCATCTTTCATGAAAGACATTACCTTCAAGTAATAAGCCACAGCTTCACCCTCACTTCTGAAATGCTGGCTCTACTCTGACAAGGTCAGAAGAGTCAAATAATCCAATCACTTCCCATAACAGAACAAACCCCATTAATTTGGACCCCCCCCAATTCAGAATTTGCAGTGGGTCAAATGAAAACTACAGTGAATATTTGCATTAATTTGGAAGAAATGACTTTCAATGTGCCTACATGCTCACTAGACGCAAAGAACTAGAATCATCCACTAGTGTTTCTTACCAAGACTTGGAATCCCAAGGGCAGTTTGCCAGAAGCAGCCCTCAGCAGGCACAGGATGCAAGCCCATGAGAGACTGGTGTAGAGCCTGGTCTCTAGTAAGTGAACAATAAATGGCCACATAGCCTAGGTTTTCTTCATAGCAGAAGAGGGGCACGTTACTCACATGACTCATTTAAGAAGAGCAGGGGAGACTTAAACAGCCACAGCTAGGCGGCTGAGACCTGGGATCTCTTCTGAGTATCTCTGACCCTGGAATCTCTGGTACCCTGCTTCAACTTGTGATTAAAGGAACAGATGAGTACTTTCCCCCTCTACTTCCCATCTTCATGCCATAGCAAGTTTACTCAGAGCATCATATTAGTACAAACTTTCTTCCCCTCACAGATCCATGAGCTGGTGAGCTCTAGTTTGTTTGACATTTTTAAATAGTACAGCTTTAAGAAGAGTGAAAGAGACTCCAAGACCCTGTAGGCTGTCCCAGTAAGTTCAGTGACATCATTTCACATCAATAGATACGTCTGTGTTGCATGATTTGCAACCACATATATAGTACATACTCATTTTGTCTGTTTAGGCTATCATCCATTTTACAATGAGAATCTGTTGCACATTGGGGTTAACAGGACTTATTTTCTAAGCAGGACAAGAATCTGAGTGACTTAAAATACGAATACATTATGTAAAAGATGTACTGCTTTTTCTCAACACCCTTACTGTAGGTTGAATTTCTGTCCCAAAATGATTTGCTAAAGTCCTAATCTCCAGTGCATCAGAATGTGAAAATAGAGTCATTGCACATGTCATTAATCAAGATGAGGCCATAATGGAATAGGGAAGACTCTTAATACAGTGTGATTAGCATACTTGTAAGGCTGAGGAGACAGAGACATCCAGGGAGAATTCCACGCGACAATGGAAGCAGAGATTAGAGTTCTGCACCTACTAGCCAAGGATCATCAAGAACTGCAGCGAAAACTTCAGAAATGAGGAGAGGAAGGAGTCCCTGGTACAGATTCCAGAAGGAGCAGGGCTGTTTGATTTCACACTCCACTTCCAGAGCCACAGGACAATACATTTCTATTGTTTTAAGTTGCCCAGTTTGTGGGCTTCATTACAGAAGCCCAAGTAACTAATATAGCCCCAGAAAATTACATTGCCATACCATATTTTGAAAATAGAAATTTCTTTGTATTCAGGCACAGTTTCTAGTGAAGATGGTTTTTTTCTGATGGAATCTCAGTTCCCTGAATTATTAACCTCTTCTCAGACTATCCCCTTCTTTCTTGCTCCAACTGAAACCTGTTTTCTGATTCATGTTTCTGCTGCAAGTCTTTCCTTCCACTGAGTGCCTCAAGTGAGATAAGGCCTCTTCCTCGCGCCTCATTACCAATTCCAGGTTACTTTCTCATGCCTTCTCCATAAAATCCCCTGCTTTCTTTGAAGTTTATACCAGTACATGTATACCATTTGTTCCCTCTTATTGTTGGGTAATTCTTAATAGAACCCCAAGTCTTTCATTATCAGGCCAAAAAAGTATCAGCATCTTCCTTTTGTTTTCTTCTTAACAGTAGTACACTTGGATTAGTTCTTTGGTGTTTTCAGAATTCACATAGTTGATCCTTCCAGTACATCGCCTCAAACCCTACCCTATCCTCATTCCCTCACATTCCATCTTACCTAGCCCAGGTCCCACAGTCCCTCATTACAATTCCTTTATTACAGACACCATCCACAATCTTGCTCATCTCTTACTGCTTCATGTTTTCCTGGCCAAGCACCAAGTCTACCAAAAGCTGACTCTGCACCTTCCTGCATGTGTATCCAAACGTGCATGGAACAAATACACTGCCATGAAAACCGCATTTGAAATTCACACGAGTGAGCCTGACAGACCTATTCCCGCCCCCTAATATGTCCCCTTGTTTACTCTTGAGAATCATGTCACACCTTTTCCTTGCCTCTCAAATTTCTAATGCCTCTCTTTTCATATCAGCTAATGCAGAAAGGAAATTAGATGATGGGGACAGAGAAGCAACCAGAAACATTCTACAAGACCCCCTCCTGCATACATCTGTAGTCATATTCTTTCATATGTTCTGTTTCCATAGATAAACTGTCTTTTCTCCCATCTAAGGCCAGACCTTCCAGATATGCTGTCTCTGATTGTCTACTTAACAATATAATTCCCACAGATTTCCCTTTTACTGATATTATCAAATTTTCTTTTTTCTGAATCATCTCTATTAACAGACAAGCATTTTATAATACTACACACATCTTAAAAATTAAACCTCACCATTTTCTACCTGCACTCCATTTCTGTGCTTACTTAATAAAGTGTTGCATAAATCTATTCATTGCTCATTCAGTAATATGTATTGGGTTCTGTCTGTATGCCAGGCACTGTCCTGGGTACATGTCTTATCCATTACCTTATCTGCAAGGCAAAATATTCAATAAATATTTGTTGGAAGAAGGGCAATAGAAAGTTGGGTGAATAATGAGTGATTAAAATGGTAAAATGATAAATGATTGGCTAGAAGTCACATCCTGGCTCGTACTTGCTATGAAGAATAAATTACAGTTTTTAAAATAGCATTAAGTAAAATACCCATTCCTTTATTCAGTGTTTGAGTACCTACTGTACATCAGATATTATAAAGATCAGTCTGACATTAATCTTCCCTCACAGAGCTTACAGTTTAAAAGAGAATATAGGATACACGCATAGATAATTAAAAGTCAAGGGAGGAATTCTAAGCATCACAACTATAATATTTCAGAGGAGATTGCTAAAATAGGTAACACATCATTGAATGGAAGTCTCTTTTACGTGACTTTTACACTGAAAGAAACATTTTATTTGAGGAGCATGAGAAGGTAGGTAGAAGATTCTGGTGTTTCTCAAGGGTCCCCTGCTTAGGATTTTTTTCATATGCATAGCTCTGATTTTCTGTTATGACTAGCATCACCTAAAACTTGTTTATCTTTCCTTTGATGTGGCTTATCACTAGCTCTGTGGTTAGCAGCCATTTTTATGTTCTTTATTCAACAACTAGAATAGAGATTGAAGGAGAGACATGCTAAAACTTGAAAAGCATTGCAGTGTAATGGTTAAGAAGAAAAGGCCATGGTGGTGAGCTAAGCATTCTGGCTATGAAGTCAGGCTGCTGGGTTGTAAATTCTGGTGAGCAGTGCTATGGCCGTCTGTAAGGCAGCATCAAGGCCTCCTTCTGTGGGCTCCTGTCCCCTTGAAGTCCCATCGGAGCTACCTCAAACCTTTCCAACCACATCTTGCTTACTCTAAGAAGAGGAATAAAGTGAAGAAATGTCTCAAATTCTCTTTTACTCCCTCTGAAAGTTAAGATAAAGATAGAAATAACTTTTCATAGCTATGCTTGTCTATTTTTTGTGACTGTGAGAAAACAAGTTATGGTAGGAAGAAATTATTTTAGCTCATCAATCATAAGTTATAGTCCATAGTCCACTGGCTCCTTTGCTTTTAGGCCTTAGACAAGTCAGAAACAACATCAGGGCAGAAGAAAGCTGCTTACCTTGCAGTGGCCAGGAAGCAGAGAAAAAGACAGGAAGGGGTTAGGACAAGTTGTACCTTCAAATGCATGCCTCCATGGACCTACTTCCTCCCATAGGGACCCACCTCCTAGTAGCCTTCAATATGAACTCAGTGGATTAGCCCATTGGTAAAGCTTTGACCCAGTCACCTCTCAATGGTGCCACAAGCT